TTGTTGTGTAAATTTTAGAAACTGGCAACATCTGGTTCTACTTGTAGGTGTATGGATATTAACCTATCACAAACAGCACTGTACTTCCAAGACAGATCTTGTTCATTTCTTTTTCATAATGAATACAATGCCATTCCTCTTTGATTTGTCATTCCAGGCATAGTATATCATGTGACTGTCAGACTCAAAATGGCCAATACCAGTCTATTTCAGCTCAGTAATACCTAGGATGTCCATGTTTATGCTTTCCGTTTCATTTTTGACAATTTCCAATTTTCCTAGATTCATACTTCATAATTCCATATTCCAATTATTAATTGATGTTTACAGCCATTTCTCCTCATTTTGAGATGGGCCCCATTAGCAAATGAAGGTCCCAAAGACTTTATTCTCATTATCATAGTCAATTGTACTTGGAGGAGACAGTCACATTTCAATTGCCTCCAACCAGAGAAGCCCATCTTCTGGCACTGTATCTGACAATAATCTGCTCAGATTCATTATGTTTTGATATTCAATATTCTGGTGTTTACAGTGTTCTACTCTAAGCTATTCATAATATTTTCAGTGACTAGATATTCAGAAGTAGTCCTTCTCTCCTACTTCCTATTCTTTCTTTGTCTGGAAGCTCAGCTGAAACCTGTCTACCATGGGTGCCCCTGCTGGTATTTAAAATACCTGTGGCATAGCTTCCAGAATCACAGAAACATGCAAGTCACCACACACCACAATATAAAAAATGGCAGTGAGTGGTGGTTTACTAAAGTAGTATCCAGTCTTATTAATTCCTAATTCCTATTAATAAAACTGTCCATTTCCTCACATTCTGAAATCACAGTCTAAAGGGTGTTTCTTTTTCTAATTTCGTTCCTCTAAAACTTACTTTCTTACTGACTTCTATCTGCTAGCACGAAATTTGATGGTGCCCAGTTGTAAGTTTGCCCTCTTCAATTTGATGCTCAATGGCAGCTGCCTTCTACACACAATGCCACAATCTTCACACTACTATAAAATTTTACAACTTGGCTACCCAAAGTGGGGGTGAGGGGGGTGAGGGAAGGGCCTCCAAAGGCAAGAAGTGACCGGCTTACAAGCTTTCAAGAGGGACTCTAGTTGTGGCGGGGGAAGGTAGAATCTCCACTGAGTGGTTTCCAATCTGTAGAGACAGGGCTAATGAAAGGAGACAGGAATAAGACTCTTGTGGTACAATAGTGAAAAATTGCTATCCGGACTGACTGTGAGGGTCGGAAATGTACAGGTAGATATTTTGTAACAAAAGGAGGGGAGTGATTGATTTTGCAGTTGAGGAGCAGAGGTCCTGGGACCATCAAGTGAGAAGAGTGGAGTGCGGGACCCTACCCAGAGAAGCAGTGACCCTAGAAATGGAGGCAGAGATGATGACATGGACAGATGGAGTGGCTGGGGACTCTGGACTCATGGAGGGAGAAGGGCTGTGTGCTGATGATGCTGGAGGGGATTGTAATCATTGCAATGAAACGAAATACAATAGGATGAAAGCTGTTGTTCTCCCATGTAAACTCTCATAATTCACAATAAAAACTTTGAAAAAATAAAGTAAAATTATACAACTTGTCTCCTTAACTGTTTCTAAAAATGGAATTACTTTCTGCTTTGAATTCTTTTTGTTGAAGCCAAGTGTTTTAGTAATGGATGGTGTTTTAATGGAAGTTTAAAAAAATTTCTTTGAGGTAATACAATTTTTGATGCAATTAATGGGACACATATGGCACCAGGGGTCTTCAGATTTATAAAGTTATACAGGCCCCAACTAGATGGAACCAAGCACTAAAAGTGGGACAAGAGCTTCCCATAAATACAAGAGGTGAAACTGTGGCCTGAGAATCATGGAAGTGTTAAGTCACTTCAATGATTACTATTCTACACTTAAATTCAAGTTGTATACACTCATGGGAAATGTTTACAGATGTTTACAAACAAACATGTTACCTGGAATGTTCTGTTAGGAAAAACAAAACCAACAGGGATTACGTTTGTTTCCCTTTAATTGTTCCTAGAGAAGGTTTAAGGAGCCCGGGTACCTGTGGATTATAAACTTGGCTGTTTCACCTCAAGGGTAGCAGTCTGACTCTACCAGCCACTCAACATGACAAACATGAGGCTTACTGCTCCTGTAAAGATTTATAGCCTTGGAAGCCTTATATAGGGTAACTGTGACTTGGAACCAACTCTGTGGCATACAAAGACCACCATAGGAAGGTTTAACAAACCTACTTTGGTTGGTTCTTTTCTTTAAAAAAAAATGTAAGAAAAAACTCTTTGTGTCTGTTTCATTTTTGTTAGGCACTCTAATTTCAAAAAGCCAAAGAAAAGTAAACGTAATCATTACTTATCACGTATTTACTGATAGTCTACTGTATAAAAAACATTACTGTAGACAGTGAGGAAAGAACAATGAAATAAAGAAAATTCTGCCCAAAGAAAGTATAAATTCTAATACCAGTGGAGAGAAAAACTCTGTATCTATAGTATGTGAACTAAGAAAACGTAGAGAAGAGTAGGGAAATAAGAAGTGTATGTAAGTGTATACGTGCAGCACGTAAGTGAGAGAGACAGAGAAATTTTATAGCGGGTAGCCAAGAAAGTATTTGCTGTGAGAGTAGTAGTTCAGTAAATTTGAAGGACTAATAAATTATTTATCTCTTCATTTAAGATTTTGTGTGTGCTCTGTCTATACCATCAATTAAACACACATGCACACACACACACACAGTTTATTTAAATTTTGCCAGCGGTAAATAAGATTAATCAGAATTATTTTACAGCTGGCTTTGAAAATGAATATTTATGAGGTCTCCAAAGCATATCATAAATACTTAAGCCTTGAATGTGGGTGGCACTTTCAGAGTGGATAGTAATTATAAATCTACACATACCCTAAATAAAATATGTGGACATAGTTTAACAACACATTACAAGTTAGGATTAAAATATACCCAAAGGAAAATTTTAAAGCATCAAACACATGATCACATTAAAACTTTACACACAAAGCTTTAAACATATATATCACCAGTGACGACGATTTGGTAAACTTAAGAACCCCTTCCCCCCTCCAAAAAAACAGTAAAACTGTACCCTGTAAAAAAAAAAAAAAAAAAATCATAGGTGTCAAAGATAATTTTTCTTCCAAAAGTTTACCTTTAGGTCTACATAAAAGGTTAAAAATGAAAATACATTATTGTTTCCATAGAAATGCATTTTAATAGCAATGAATAAGCTGAATATTGTTGAGGAAACTATCATATTATTATTTAAATAATTCTGACTCATTCTAACTGTGTACAATAGCAAACCAAATAATGAGACCTTGTTCAACTCAAGAATATGTAAATTATATGCAAATTCAAGTAAGATCAGTCCTTACAGAGAGATCCAATTCAGAACTAGATGGTCTGGTCATTTTAATGATATCTTACTGATTTGAAGACTTAGAATGTAATTGATGAATCCTGACACTATTATATTGATAATTATATAAAAGAGTTTACTAACAGCTTATTTCAAGAATATATAAATAGGTATTAACAAAGGTATAGTTTTTATTTAAACACCAATTGTTTATCCATAAAATAAAGACAAATCATGCAGGCTGAATCTGGCCTTCTACCAATATTTGTAAACAAAGTTTTATTGTAACACAATCACACCTGTTCATTTACAAAGCCTACAATCTTGGCTATCTGGCTGTATAAGAAAGTTTGTTGACTTAAAAGACTGATAAAATATTTTACCCACAGACAGTCTTAATTTGCATTTTGGCCTTATCCTCATATCATTCTTTAATTTCGATTTTATTCCCTTTCTCATCAGGTTAATATCTTCTTTTTATGAATATTGTTTTCGGAAGCATGCGGACAGAAGTCCTCAAACATCTCCTTTTAGATACTAATTTCAAATTTCTAACATGGATGCCCTGCACCTGTAAATGCTATTATAACAAAATTTATACTGTTACTCTACCTCTGCATAATTCCCACTTGTGTGTGATAATGTTCAAGTTAATATTAAATTCCATACAGTCTCTGTCTCAACAGTTCATTACGAATCCTTTGATAGTTTCTACTGTGCACTTAGAGCAGTGATTAATCTAGGCCTAGTTTATTTTCTATAAACTACGACACCTGCTGAATAATGAGAACTGGGCTCAATTGTCAGGAAGCTTTTTGAGGCTACTTCCTCACTGACCAAACAATTCTAAACAAAAGATTCAGACCCTTAACCTTTTATGAAATCTATAAATAACTACCTAATTTCTAGACTCATTAAACTACAAACTTTGACAACACATAGGCTAATTTAAATGCATAGCTAGTCTAGGTCTCTATCTACCACACCTTTTTTCCTACCCTTTAATGATCCTTGGGCTAAATAATATCACTAGAAGTTATTACGCAATTTGCTATTATGGAACTGAATAAAATGACACAGATGTACTACCAGAAAAAAAGTATCTCTAAGAATTTAGATCTTGCCTGCCTCTTAATTTGTTTATTGATTCCACTTTTATAGCCTTTTACTTTCTGAAAAACTGCAGAAGCCCCAGACATTTAATTTTAATATGTCAAACTGTGGTTTATAATCAAAGGACTAACACCTTAAGAAAAAAAAATCCACTTGGTAAGTTTTTTAAAATTTCTTTTACTCATTATATCCTATATTTCAAAACTCATTAGATTGAAGAGATATGAATCTGAGATTAAATGCAATATATACAGCTTAATTATCACCCAAATAAAAATTTCAAACATCATTATACCTTATAAACACAAAGTGAATTATTAAAATTGGTAAAAAAAATATTTCATTTTAATTTCCAAAAAGCACAACTGCAAAGAATATCCTAGTGGATATAAATTGTTTTTAAAAATACAAAGGAAGAAAGGGGGGAATCTTCTATTGTAAAACATTTTCTGGAAAAGAAAATGCAAAATAAGGGCCAATGATAGGTCTGTACTTACCAGGATTGTGGCGGTAGTCCACATACTGTGGCACTTGGATGGTGAAGGCTATCCAATCTGGAGCTAAGAGTGACTCTGGCTTCCTACTTTCATTGAGCCACTTGCTACTATGAAGATCTTTAGTGTCAGAAGAACCCTGAAGCAAGGGAATGAGCTTCTCTTTTCCACTATCACCTGAAGAGAAATATTTATTTAAAAAAACAAATCTCATGAAATACAATGTTAACAAAGCTTAAGAATGTTTCATCTTAAAATATCCTCACAATAATATATAATATTTCAATTATATTTGGTAATTTTAGTAACAGTATTTTTAACTCTTAAAAAAAGGTGTATAAACCTTTTGGTAATAAATGTAGAGTAAGTTCAGGAATTTTAGTAAAACAATTTGAATATAATGTATTCTAATCTTTTAATATACTCCGTACATCAACAAATTTATGTATTTTAGTTTGCAATAAAAAGATTAAAAATAGTTTAAGAAAAATACTACAGAATAAAATATCCATTAGAAGGTAAAGTTAATTAAAGCAAACAACTGAGTTTTCTGTTTAATTCAATTATACTCACAATATTTCAAGTTAATTTTTAGTGTCATATATATCTTCTGGTAGCGTAGTGGTTACGAATCGGGCTGCGAATCTTAAGGTCAGCGGTTCGAAACTACCAGCCGCTCCGCGGGAGAAAGATGAGGCTTTCTACTCCCATAAGGATTTACACCCTCGGAAACCCTGTACAGGGTCGCTATGGGTCAGAACCGACTCGACGGCACTTAACAACAACATATCTATATACATCCTAGTACCTCAAAAGTACAAGAATAAACTTTCTTTTAATTTTCCCCCTCATATCCATTCTTAAAACTAGGCAAAGATTTTTCTTTACATAAAAAATAGTTTATTAAAGTCAAGTAGTATCATCTTAGGCATTAAAAAATTTTAAAGTAAAACTGAAAAATGTAAAGCCTCTGATTCACAGAAACAATGAGTAAATTCTTGTTTCAGTAACGCTCCTTGTAAAATGCAAGGCCAATTCTCCTATACAGGCAATAAAGTTTTACACGGTCCAGCTGCACATACCTGGGGCTTTGGCACAAATTTTTATTGATCCCACGGTCCCAGAGGCACATTTGACCAATGATGTGCTGCAGTACTTCAATTCAACATTCTGGACCGAGCCCTCAAGAGTTGGCAGGGGATTCTTAGATTTCACACCTAATAAAAGAAAACTGCAAATGTACTACCCCGATTGAATTTAAATAATTTTATATTCCTTCACCAAGACATTTAAACTTAATTATACTTTAATTATCTACCTCAGATGTTCTTACAGTATTTGTGTTAGGTTTCATAGTTTGGTGTTTAGGAGGTGAAAGGATGCAATTTAAAAATAAATGGGCTGAACTCTCATAGCTATACTTATGCAGTAAAGTCTTGATTAGCCAAAATCAAGAAATAAAAGTAAAAGCACAAATATGTTTCATTTTTAAATTAAAAGACAGCTAAAAATGTCATATTTGGTTTTAAAATTTTTAATAGGATTTTTATTTCTGAAATACATTTAATTTATACAAGTATTATTTAGGGAGGAACATTTAACTCATACAAAAAGACTACGACTAATAAACAGATTTCCCAAAATACCTTAGGTGAGGTGAGGAGGAACAAGATAGTTGTAAGTTAAAAAGCACTTGTAAGTTAAAACAGTTACAAAACAGTTGTAAATTAAAATAAAATGTCTTATAAACTTAGGTGACAAGTATTGCAAATAAAACAAAGTCAATGAATTCTATGAAAAACAAAATGTAGATATTAAAGTCTCTACTATGTGATGAAAGATATAAAAGCACATAAGGTAATAATTAAAATGAAAAAAAGATGATTGAGAAAAACTTAATTCCAAAGGGAAAACTTCAATGTAAAGCTCTAAGTGATAGGTCAGAATTATACAAGTAGATAAATGTTAAGACCATTTTATTTATAATATTACAAAAATGTCAACAAATTCAAGTAATGAACTAACAATAACTGTGTGGTAACTATGTGTTATGCCCATTATATTAGTTAAAGTTCAGGACAAGCATATATATAGATATTGATATTACTATTATCCTCATTTTACAAAGAGGATACAATAAATTACAGGTGATAAGTTTTTTGGCCAAAAAAATACAGTTTATAAGGGAAAAAGCTAAAGGTTTACCACTATCTGATGCTTCCATAGAAGACTTAACCACACATTATGCCTATATTTATGAACATCCATCTACATAATTCCTCTTCCTTTTTCCTTTTCATATTTTGGTCTAATAAATACTACATAAAAGCAAGCTGCAAAAAAGTTACTGGAAAATGGAACTAAAAGATAATGGAAGTTTTCCATGAAATTTTTGAAATACATACTATCCTCTATTTGTGAGGCTCTTTTAGAGAGAACTATGTAAGAATACTTTTTAAAATCAAAAGTTTTCTATGAAATACATGGTTAACATCTTCTTTGGTATATATAATATATTCTACCTTTTCACTTTAGGAGTGAAACTCATACTTGAGTGTGCTCCAGAAAATCCTAACAGATAATGCTGAGTCTTTAGGAAGTGTTGCCCATAAATCTGCAATTTAACTAACACACACAGATACTTGAAAATGGTTAGAGGGCATCAGACTGACAAACATCTTCTAACATATCCTTACTTCAAAAGGACCTATCTGGACATTATAAAATTGTGTGTAAACTGGTAGAGAGATGGAGTGGCTGGGGACTTTGAACTTAGGGAGGGAGAAGGGCTATGTGCTGGAGGCCAGGGGGCAGGCTTTTGGGTGTACCCTTTGGTTGTTTCAATGGTTATACATTCCTGATGTACATCCAAAAGAAGCAGAGGGAATGGAAGCAAATGCTGTTGAATGATGATGCATGCAGGGGACTGTAGTCATTGCAAAGAAACAAAATACAATAGGATGAATGTAAAGCTGATGTTCTCCCATGTAAACTATCACCCAATTCAAAATAAAAACTTTAAAAAAAAAAATGTGTGTAAACTGGTTGCTGTTTTCCAATATTCACCTCCTGTATTATTGCCATTTGAGAGCATAAGTTATAATCCTATGGTCTAGGGAAGACCTTAAGGAACCTATGAAATCTATAAAATGGAATCTAAAACATTGGGGATTTGCGTATTTTTAAAGACATTTTTATCAGATTCTCAAAATCCATGATTCAAAAAAATAAGAAACAGTAACTGTTACTGTTGTTAGGAGACATTGAATCAGTACTGACTCATGGTAACAGTAAACCAAAGCATACCCGGTCCTACACCATCCTCACAATTGTCAGAAAATAAACTGATGCCAGAAAAAAAAAAAAAAAAA